AAGCGTGTTACACTCGTGTGGTTTTGAAATAGCGGAAATATTTGTCACTCAAGTGGATGGTCTTCTTTGAATTGTGTTCTCTCAGCTGGGTTGTTTAATTGTGGAGCTTTCATCGTCTTTCTAGACGATATCATCATTCCTCCAAATATTTAAAAGTGATGTTTATACACACTTGAATCGTAATCAAATCGAAACGACTAGTTTGTAGTTCCTTGTTTAAACCTCATAAAAATGTATTCAGAAATGTGTATTCAAGGTGAATCTTTAGATTGTCGGAAAATTTAACAACTTTACTAAGACGTATAGTTTACCAGCACAAAAATTCCAATGAATTAGTATACACCTGTCAGTCATTATTAAGTTACTGGGTTAATCTATCCTTATCCTGAATAAAAGTGCAAAAATATCTAATAGTTTAACCTTGTAATACTTCAGTTAAACAGAAATGAGTATTCTGCTGTTTGCTTTTGTATAGTAACAGGGTTACATGTTAAACAATTGGAAAAAATATCTTTACTCTAAAGTACAGATTTATACAAAAAGAAGTTTTAAATCTAGTGAACTCAAAAATGTATACACTGAAAGTTTACTCTTATAAAGAATACTAACTGATTAAATCTTGTTTTACAGATTTCATGATAATAATATTCAGGCTTGGAATACAATATAAACAGAGGTAACAGAAGGTAACAGTTTCCAAAAAGCACGAAACCTAGGTCAAGCAGGGCTTCCTGCCGATTGCCTCCAACCAACTAACATCTACTAATATGCACCGCGATGCTGAGCTTCCTAGCTTGGTTGCCACATTGCAAATATGACCGATAGAATTCGATCTGCACTCAGGACTAGACAACATGAAACTGGTTGCACTTCCGCGACCAATCAATACAGTTTCCATGTCTCAAACCTTTACTGAAGTTAATTATAAAACTTGCTTGTTTTCAGTATTGTTTATCATAAATATACTACTTTAAAAAAATCAGGTATATTTGTGAAATACACAATCCCTAGTTGGCTCAGGTAGTCAGCCAGAATTCTGGTGGTTTAAGTCATTCAGCTCTCTGGTTGAATTATTCAGGGTACGACACTGATTAGCCTTATCTCTAATGAAAGAAACAGCCGTCCGGTGGTAAAATCACCTTGATGTGACTAGTGAGAATCGCTGGTCGACGTGTGTGTGCGCGAAGCCGTCGTAATTTTATTCACTACCATATGTCGAATAGTCGACTTATGTTATCATCGATGTGCACATACACCATGTAAATCTCCTTACTTTAGTGGATGTCAGGTTGTAAATATGACCAAATGCAGACTTTTGACACTGACTTACTATTTTGCAAAGGCTGTACTTATCTCTTCTGTATATTCTACCTTGTTGTTCTAAGAAATTTCCACCACGAATAGGCAGTCGATTGCGCTCACACTGACATATCATTATTTATCCTCTGGGTTCCTAGTGGAACATATGGCTTCAGTAGCACGTCACCATTTCACTCTCTCATCTCAGTCTCTTAACCTGACTTAACCACTGCCAATAACCTTTCATTTATTCCTCACACCATCCCATCCATGTCACCCTCAGCTGAGATGCCCAACTCCTCGTTTCCCTTTGCATTCCACTCGAGGTTCTGGCCTGACACGTGATGTCCCCGAATGGTCCCCTCAGTGTGTGCCCAATGCAAAACATCTCCACTTTCTTCTACTGTATATTTGTTGGACGATGCGTTCTTGCTCTGTTGCTTTGTTGCCATCCATCCATCCATCCATCCATCCAGCCAACCAGCCAGCCAGCCAGTCAGACCTCCTTGTTGCTTATTCTTATTATTCTGGCCATCTGTTCTCCATCTTCAGTATCGAGTGAGCGTAGTGGGAAGCTGTTGATGAATGTCTGTAGTTTGTTGGAAATGCTTTTCGGAAGACACAAAGGCTCTGAACCATCACATAGAAGCAAGCACTGACTGACCTGACTGACGTTAGCGTTGAAAATCCGCATGTTTCCCACGCTGTATGCTGAGTGGAGTGGAGTGAATGGAGTGGAGTAGATCTCCACACTGATTGGTTTCGAATTGGTGAAGGCGTGTCTTGCTGTCTTCCCGAACTGTGCCACCCGTAGTTGAAACGATGGTGCCTAGATTGGTAGGTAGGTAGGTAGGTAGGTAGGTGAAAGTGACAACTTCGTTTAGATTCCTCCTGTTGATGGTGATTGGTGCATTGTTGTTGTTGTTGTTGTTGTTGGTTGGATATCTTCATCACCTGTGTCTTGTCTATATTCACTTGGAGTCCCGTCTTCACTGCCCTGCCTCTTCTGTCAACTTGTTGGTTTTCACCTGTACATCTTCGAGTTTGTGCGACATTAGACATAGATCATGGGCGAAAAGCAAATCTTGTTCTGTGGTGTTTTCCTTGGTCCAGCCAGCGTATGTCCATCTTCTTGCTCCTCACTGTTTGTCGCATGATCCAGTCGACGACAATCAAGAATATCATTGTGGATGATAGTGGGCGGCAACCTTGTCTCACTCCTGTCGCCTGTCTTCACTTCAAGGGAGTCACCGAGCAATCCATTGTGAATCAGTTGACTTGTGGCGTCGTCATATAGTTGTAGAATGAGGTTGATGAAGGTTTGTGTGACTAAAGTGTAGTGTTGAAGCAGCTGTCAAACTACTTCTCGGTTGACGCCTGTATCGAAGACCTTTTCAAAATCGATGAAGTTGAGGTAGAGTTGAGTTGACTGGCATTTTTTGCTGTGTTCTATGATGATGCGTGGTGTAATGTTGCAATTTGATCGACATATGATTTATACTTCGTGCAGTGAAACCAGCCTGTTCATGTCGTAATTTTGAATCGAGTGCATCTTTTAGTCTCTCTAGTATGATGTGGTTTAATGTTTTGTTGGTGTGGACAGGAGCATGATTGCGTGCCGGTTCTTGCGAAGACTTGTGTCTCCCTTCTTTGGAGGTTTGACTAGGTATGCCTTCTTCTACTCATCATTTATCTTTCCTTGTGCAATAGTGGTGTGAGCATTTCCGCAGCTGATGTCTGTGTGTCTGTTTTGAGTGCTTTTGAAGGAATTCTATCTTGTCCTGCCTCTTTCTTGGGTTTCAGCAACTTTATGGCGTTTGGGACTTTGGTTTTTGTCGGAGGGCTTGTATTAACTATTTTTCCTGCGGTTGTTGCTGGTATTTCTGAACGAGTTGCAGGCGGTGGCGGTGGTTGATTCAAGAGTTTTCTGAAGTGGTCAGCCCGTCGTTTCTTCCGTTTTTCCTCTTTGCTAAATAGATATCGTCCTCTATCATTGGTTCATTCGCGTTGATCTGTTCCTTCTCAGATAATAATCTGGTTATTTGATATAGTATTATCAGGTCTCTCCTACGAGCAGCCTGTTCTACTCCAGTTGCAAGTGTGTCGTGAAGCGTCTCTTATCTTTCTGCGCACTCTTCTTCATTTCTTTGTCCAATGTATTTTTTATGGGTTATATTCAGTTCACTGGGTCATATTCTGCATCACCATCTTCTTCTCCATGCTCTATCATCTTCCATGCGTCCGTCGACGTCCATCCCTTGTCTTGTTTCTTCTTCTTCCTTCATAATACGGTTTTGCAGGTTTCTTCCACGCAGGTTTCCTCCAGGATGTTGCTCAATGTCTTCCATTTTTTCATGATGACTGACTTGAAGATGTCCTTCGTAGTTTCGTCCTCCAGTTTCTATTCTGAGTGCTGAACTTGAACTGTGGTCTATCACCATCTTCTTTAAAGGCTTTCAAGTTGATTTTGAAGGTAGGTTCCTTGCACTAGGTAGTGAGTGGTTTGAACCCACATCTCCTTGACTTCGTGATCTGATACTGTGTCCAGTAGGCTGTCTCCACTTTTTCATATTGAGATGAAGTCGATCCGATTTTAGTGTGTCCATCTGGTGAAGTCGAATCCGTGTCACTGCCTTGTGAATATCCTTGTGTTTGTCCACACTGCCTCCAATCATCAAATCGTTGAATGCGTAGAAATCTGCAAACAGTTCTCCATTCTCGTTCGTTTCACAAACGAGTGCTTCTCAACCCATGATGAGTTCACTTCCTTTGTTATCTGCTCCCAGTTTGGCATTCATGTCACCCATTACGATTTTGATATGGCCATCTGGGGTGAGGTCTTGCTCAGTACTGATATCAGTTGTCTGTAGAATTCCTCCTTCTTCTCTTGATCTGATTTATTCGTAGGTGCAATGCCTAGCACTGCATGATTGTGAATCTCCTTACTTTGAGTTGAATCTTGCTGTCATGATCCTGATCCTGGAGGAGATTGGTTCCCACTGCATGAGAAAGAGTATTCTATGCTCTTTAGTGAAAATCATGATAGGCACTTGGAAACTCAGTGTGTTCGTGGTTGTCGTCTTGGTGCCAATATAGGAGTAGATTATTGATTCTCCAGTTGACAGTTTGCAGAGTCCACTTCCATTCCATTTGCTTTCGCAGATTCCTAGCACTTCTATGCTTTACCTTCTCATGTCTTATGAAATGTGGGCATCCTTGCTAGGTTCAAACATAATGCGGACATTGCATGTCCCCAAGTTTACTTTCGCTTTCACCGAGAGAAGCGAAGTTACATCGGCCAATTGGCTTCCCGAAGGTTTTCACCAACCGGAGTCATTTCGTCTCTCCGATTACATAGGGAGATAAGTCTACTTCTATTTTTCGTATTTTTTGTGTGTTTTGAAGTTCCTGTAGAAGTTGGATTGGTTTTCCAGGGGTAGGTTTGCTAGCTCTATGCCCAACCCTCCCTCTTTATCTGGGCTTAGGACCGGCTGGTAACTAGTGAACTAGTTAACCAAGCGAGGTCTAAACTATGCGTACAAGCAAAATCTTATTGTTGCAATATCTGAATGCAAATAATATAGAGCTTAGTAACAATCTTTCGTTTATTTATTGAATAAGACAATCTAATGGATACATTTGCATACTATTATTGCAGTATTGGTTCATTAAGCGATAAACTATTTTGTTTTCTTTTAAAGAGGATAAGATTCCTGCAATACTTGAAGAAGCTGGCGACTGGGTGAAATTACACTTGTGTCAACCAGACTGTTATCTACGTCTAACAACAGATCGTTTGGAAGTTTTGGATTATTACAGTCATAAACCGGTTCATTGGTTCCCCTACCTTCTGATTCGTAGGTGAGTTCACATACCAAATCTCGAATTACTCAAACTTTCTCATATTTCTAGTTATTACTGAGTGTTTTTTTATATGTTTTTATTTGTTAATTTATGTAGTTTTGTCTAGGTGTGTCTATTCACCATCACTGATGTAATGATGTAAGAAGATGTTGTTTATGATGATCATCTCTTTTTAAACATTTCTCATCAAAGACTGACATTATGTTATTATTATTTATCCCTTGGGTTCATAATGGAACATTGGGCTTCAGTAGCACACCTCTATTTCACTCTGTTCTTTGCAATCTGGCTCCACGACTGTCTACAAGCTTTCATTTATTCCTCACACCATCTCCTCTATGTCACCCTCACCTAGGACTCCCAACTCGTCATTTCTCATCTGGGTTCCATTCGAGTGCCTGGCCTGGCACGTGATGTCCCCGAATGGTCCTCCTAGTGCATGCCAAATCCATCTCCACTTCCGTCTACTGCATATTTGTTGAGCGATAGGTTCTTGCTTCGTTGGTTCATTGCCAGTCAGGCCAGAGTTCCTTGTTGCTTATTCTCATTATTCTGGCCATCTGACCTTCAGTAACAAGCGTAGGTGGCAGTTGTTGATGAATGTCTGTAATTTGTTGCGAATGCCTTTCGTAAGGCGCCAAGTCTCTGAACCATCACGCAGGAGCACTGACTTGAAGTTGATGTTCAATATCCAGATGTTGTTCACGCTTTGTGCTGAGTGGAGTACAGTAGATCTCCACACTGATTTCAGGTTAATGAACGCCTGTCTTGTTGTCTTTCCGATCCTGGCTGCTTTGATGTCCTCGCCTGTGCCACCTGTAGTTGAAACAGTACTGCCTAGACTGACATTAGTTGGAGAATAATTGAATATCTCTAAACAAAAGACAGCTATTTTGTCCAGATTTAGGATTCTTCAATAGATTAGGCCTAAGACCATGAGATTTCCCTATGACCTCATTAACACTCAACCACCTGATTGAAACCCGATGGTTTACTGTCTTTTATGTCTATCTATTCGCCATCAGCAATTAGTTGTTGACATAATCGACTTAACTGACACGTCAGAGGAGACAACTTCGCACTAGAACTTTGGGAAATACATACTGAAGTAGGTTACTACTGAGCTCTGAACAGTAGTTCAACAATTGGTTTCTGGAGACTGACTGATTTTCAGGGTAGTCTTCATCACTCATTAGTATCCTAAAAAACTATCGATTGACTGTTTAACAGCTAATTAATATTTTTTTTCTAGTTTTGATTGTATAGCTTGTAAGTCGTTAATGGAACTGAATCGATCAACGACTATTAGTATATGAGCTTCTGTGTGGATACCTCTATAATGTCTGGGTTTTCAGTTTTGGTATTAACGATTGATAGTGGCTAGTAGTGGAATTCAAGAAGCATGTTTCGTCCCATTTGCGGCTCATCAGTTGCATATACCTGCTTCTCAGTAAGTGATATTGTTCCAGCTAAGACTTGAAATCAAGACATGTCGCATCAAACATTAGAATGTTATCTAGTAGGCCACTGAATCACAATGATCACTCCTTTTGCGATGGGCATAACATTTTTTGTCTTGATGTTACTCGTGTAAATCTCCGTCGTTGATGTTAGACCCATCATCATTGATATCAAAGTATTGTTCTTCATTCTACTACTAGTTGTAGTAGTAGTATTGTAATATTGCCCAATAGTGTGTACAACCAGTCTTCATTGCAAAGCATTAAAATTCTGTGGTGTGATAAGTTTTTCGGGGTTTAAAAAATAAAAGTCGGGTGGAATTAAAAAATTGATATAAGTGTAAAACTTGGGCACTGTGGTCGAGTGTAACTCCATTTTAGTCTGTTTATTAGAAATATCACACAGTGAAACAGTAGCATTTACTGGATAACGTTTCGGACATAACTTATTGTCCATATTCATATCAGATAAATAACTCCACAACTTCGAGACAGTCTTTATATATTCCTAGTTTTCTCTCCTTCTCTGTGATGACAAGGGTAGTAGAATTTTCTATGTATCTAGGATGGATGCAGAATCATTTCTATTACTGCATGTATTTGGTGTGGATTGATAAACAAAGATCCAGTCGGTTATGAATCTCTCCCTCCCTCCACCCAAGTTAGATTTTAAAACTGTCACCCTATCCCACCCTAATGTGTGATCGGGTGTCATCGCATGCACAGCTATAGCCGAGTTTTCCTCTAGATTTCTTATCTTATGAGAATGTACTAATCTTGATTTAGCTAAGTTTTTGTGCTCTGTTATTGTAATCGACTCTGGTCGACTGCTTTGACCTATGTACTTGACCTCGCAATCATTGCAAAGAATCTGGTAAACCAGATTATTTTGCTGAATTGCATCGATAGGATCTTTTAACCTACAAAGCTTGTTTCTAAGTGAGTTTGTTGGTTTCAATGCCACTTTAATCCCAGCCTTATTGAGAATTCTTCGTAGTGCTTCTGAGTTGCCTTCCTTGTATGGTAACACAATAGAGGCTTCGAATCCTCTCTCAACTCTATCACCATTATTACCATTAATAGTAGAATTATTATTCATAACATCTGTATTACTACTACTACCATTGCTAATATTTTTCTTTCGATTTCTTACGAATTCATTCAAAAATTTTGGTGGGTAATTATTGAGGCACAGGGTATTCTTGATGTGTCTTATTTCTTGTCACAGATTTTCCAGGACGCGCGTCCTGGATTCTTCTGCTAGCCACAACCAACCAATTTGTCATAATAATAATTATTATTATTATTTGTCCCTTTGCTTCCTAATCGAACATAGCACGTAGCATGTAACACGTCTCCATTCCACTCTATTCTCTGCAATCTCTTCAAATTGGCTCCACAGCTGCTCACAAGATCTCATTTATTCCTCACACCATCCTCTCCACGTCACCCCCAGCTGGGATGCCCAACTCGTCGTTTCTCATCTGGGTTCCATTCGAGTGCCCGGCCTGGCGCGTGATGTCCCCGAAAGGTCTCCTCAGTGCATACCCAATCCAAACCATCTCCACTTCCGTCTACTGCATATTTGTTGAGTGACAGGTTCTTGCTTCGTTGGTTTGTTCCCAGCCAGTCAGACTTCCTTGTTGCTTATCCTCATCATTCTGACCACCTGAGCTCCAGTATCGAGCCAGAGTGAGCAGTTGTTGATGAATATCTGTAGCTTTCTCGAAATGTTTTTCGTAACGCGACAAGTCTCTCAACCATCACATAGAAGTACTGACTGACTTGACTGAATTGGTGTTGAAAATCCAGATGTTGTTCACGCTTTGTGCTGAGTGGAGTGCAGTAGATCTCTACACTGATTTCAGGTTAATGAACGCCTGTCTTGTTGTCTTTCCGATCCTGGCTGCTTTGGCGTCCTCGTGTGTGCCACTGCCGCCCCTTGTAGTTGAAACGATGTTGCCCTGCCTAGGCAGGTGAAAGAGGCTACTTCCTTTAAGTTTCTCCGTTGATGGTGATTGGAGCTTGTTGTTGTCGGTTGGGTATCTTCATCACCTGTGTCTTCTCTACATTCACTTGAAGTTCCGTCTTCGCTGCCTCTTCTGTCGATTTGTTAGTTTTCGCCTGTAGATCTTCAAGTTTGTGTGACATTAGACACAAGTCATCGGCTAAATCCAAATCTTCTTGGATCTTTTCCCGGTCCAGCGTATGCTCATCCTCTCTCTCATCACAATTTGTTGCATGATCCAGTCTAGTCGATAACAATCAGGAAGACGGTCGGTGATAGTAGGCGGCAACCTTGTCTTACTCCTGTCTTCACATAAAAGGCATCACCGTGCTTTTGTCTTGGTTTTTTAACCCAACCATTGATTCTGAACAATAGTTGGGTTAACAAACCAAGACAAAAGTATATATTAGGCGTATTTTACAAAGTTTTTTTCAAGTATTTCGTAAGTTATCCTAAAGTTACTTTTCAAAATTGTGGTGATTAAAGGATTTCTTCAATTCGTAGACAAACTCTAATTATGAGTTTCAAAATTACACTATTCTAACACTCCGAACTGACCAAGTTGTGTCGTCAGTATCGCTTACTGAGCAGCTGAGTAATACTAAACATAACTCCTAAAATTGTATTGATTTTTTGGTTTGCCGGGGTTTACTACACTTCTTACTGATAGGTAGTGACCCAAACGATAGCTGCTACCTTGATATGGGGGTCAGGTTTCGCATATCACAGTGACCCAGCGAGCTTTGCTTGTGAAACGTTTGTCCTGTCGAGGTCATGTCATACCAGAGAGATCTCTTGGATAGTGGTTATACAAAGGGCGATTACCATTGTGGTGTAAATAAGTGCGCTGTCATTAGAGACTGGGGGAGAAGTCATACTGCTAACTGGACGAGAGTGTGACAGAAGTAAGGTGACCAGCAGTGCCAACCTGGAGGTACCTTCTGCATGGTAATTGGAAGCTAGGTAAGGTTGGTCCAGCATACCGTACATAGTTGGATAAGAATGCAAAGGACCGTGTGCGACTGACCTCTAGCAGATGTTCTTTGGGCTCTGCGGATATGCACTTCAAGAAGAAGTAGTTTTCCATGATGTGGGCAGCCGGGAATTGTCAACTGCCCTTACAACTGTCATCCTTCAAGTTACCTCTTATCTTTCACTGTTGGTCTGAACCATGTAGAGAAACGCGGAATAGCCAGTTGAGATCCATATGACAACAGAAACCAGTGGTTGATGTATTCACATATTATCTTCCTCTCTTTTACTGCTTTCGACCCAACTCTTTACCTTTCATCTTACTGCTTTATTAATGGATGTGCTGATATGAGGTATGGCAACTTGGATCGTCACGCAATAATGCCTGGGGTCCTATGTTGATATTCTTGATGATGATGATAAAGAGGAGGAGGAGGATGAGGAAAAACTGTAATAAGGACGACACACAAATCCTTAGCTGCATCCTTATTTCGCCGATGACTTGTGTCTGATGTCACACAAACTGGAAGATCTGCAGGCGAAAACTAACAAGTTGA